AGCTGCCGGGGCTTTCTAGACTCCTAAATCCTAGTTAGGGAGACCCCTTAAACGGGACCCTTCTTAACCGCACTTATGGCTCTCTTAACAGCGACCTTATTGAGAGGGTCTATATCCCCAAGGGTCCCCTTAATCCTGCTTCCCAGTAGGGTATTGGGATGGTATATGTCTATTTAGCATATGTATGTATGTATGCATGTATGTATATATCATAATAGATATATATATATATAGAGAGAGAGAGAGGTTTGCACGCATGCACATATATATATATATATATATATATACATCCTCATGTATGCATGTATTCCTCTATACATACACACATTCATTCATACATACATAGATGCGCATAAACACATGATTGTGTACATATATATATAAATATATATATATATATATAGATATGTATATATACATTCATACGCATGTATGCATGCAAGGATGTATGTACGTATGTAGCTGTTTGTTTCTGTCTGTTTGTTTGTATGTAAATATGTATGTGGGCACGTCGATCTTGTTACATTGAGATCGTAGATTCTAGATTCCTAAGAAGCAGATTAGCCCGAAGAAGCAGAAAGCCTGTTTTCGCAGGGACTCTGGAACTGAATGCAAAGACTTAAGAACAACAACGTTTTACCCCATGAGTTCAAGATGGGCTCAAGGTTGCATGTGGGTTGACCTTTCCCAAATGTTTAGATAACCCGAATTTTTTTCCGCCACTTAGGCTTGACGCCCACTCAGAAGTCGGTGCACCGCGCAGGCTGGCGATGCCGTCGGCGCTGGCTACCGCGTGGGGACCTCGCCAGGGTAATGTAGGGGCCTAAATAAATACCAAGACTATTTGGGGGGTCCTGATTATAATAACAGTATATTTACTGGGTACCAAAACCCCATTCTAATTATTAAGGCCCCTACATTATGGTCTTTAGGGTTTGGTGCTTTTTGGGTTTCGGATTTGTGGCTTCTGGGAGCTTAGTGTTGCCTGCGAAGATCTGCCCCTCAACCCTAAAGCCTAAACCCCAAACCCTAAACGTATCTTAGACTCATACATGTGCTCAGGGTCGGGTTTGGAGTTATCCAGGGTTTAGGGGGGTTTAGGGTTTAGGAGGTATCTCAATCCCTCCACGTCAAGGGAGAGTGTAGTGTCGGCGCCGGGTTGCGGGCTGGTGGCTCCGATTCGCTCAGAACCTTGAACTCTACAAGGCCTGTACCTTGAGATGCCTAAACCTTTCAAGCCCTGAAGTCCAGAAAATGTAAGGATAATTTCGATAATATATGACCATGATATAGAACATGTAAGATAAGTTATGACAACTTATGACAATATGATATAAGCTGATAGAATAGAATGCGCGTTCAAGCCCAGCGAATTATCGAATTCAGATAACCCTGATTTCTAGACCTGAATCTAAACCCCAAATCTACACCCTAAACTCTAAACCCTAAACCTAAGCCCCAAATTCTAAACCCTAAGTTAGAAACCCGATGTTCTAAACCCTAAGTTCTAAACCCTAGAGCCTTCAACTCTAAAACCCAAGAGCCAGAAAGAGCTGAACAAAACTGAAGCCCAGAAAACCCGAAACCCCTACCCTAAACCCTAAACCCCAAACCCAAAACCCCTAAACCCTAAACCCACGACCCTAAACCCGAAAACCCTAAACCCACAACCCTAAACCCTAAACCCTAAAGCCCCAAACCCACAACCCTGAACCCTAAAACCCTAAGCCCACCACCCTGAACCAAGTCAGGTCTTTATCCTCAACCGCTTAGCTCACGCTGGCGGCCTAAGGGGCGGTCGCTCAGACTGGCATTTGGGTTTTAGGGTTTAGGGGTCTA